AAAAAAAAAAAAAAATTGATAAATACGGTTCTGTGATCATCTTAGTAGAGATGAGAAGATCCAGTATTAATTCTGAAACAGTATTCCGTGGTCACTTGGTAAAGTCGAAATAAATGGATCTTTATGTGATTAAAAATAAATATGATTCAAACCCCTCTCTCAAACAAAATAAAATGCGTGACATTACAACATGAAGTAGGAGAAACACAAGGGGACGCTGAGACGGGTGGAGGTGCGGTGCACTGCGCGCTTGTGGAGCGGTGCCCACGGTGCCGCGGGAGCACACGGGGGATGTTCTGCAGGAGCCCCCAAAGCCGGCGGGGAGGGCCGTGGAGGTGAGGTGGTCTGGGAAGAGGTGAGGTTTTAACGGCTGCCTCGGAGGATGGGAGAGGGTCTGCTTTACACAGAGTCGGCACACCATGGAGAAAGGTGGGAGGCAGCCTCCCGCCTTTCCCATCACAGACCCCCGTTTAGGAATTGCTCACTGAAAGTGGGGGGCTGCGCGGAGCCACCCTTCCCCGCATTGGAATCCAGTCCCGAGGCACAGCGGCGGGTTTCTGTTCTGTTTCCTCTGAGCAGGTGGCCTGCAGTCCCCGGTCGGGCCAGTTCTTCAGCGCCTCTCGGGACAGGCGGGTCCTGATGTGGGACTTGCACGAGGCCTCCCAGCCCAGGCAGCAGCTGTGCGGCCACGCTCTGGCGGTCACCGGCTTGGCCGTGAGTCCAGGTAAGGCGGAGCAGCTCTGCCCGGCGCCCTCGGGCTCTCCCGGCCTGTGCAAGTCCTGCCCCATGGGTGACTTCTCGCCTTGCTTCCAAAGACGCGTCCCAGCTGTGCACTGGCTCTCGGGACAACGCCCTGCTTCTGTGGGACGTGGGGACCGGACGGTGTGTGGAGAGAGCCTCGGTCTCCAGGAACCTGGTATGAATCCCAACTCGGTGCAGGGCAAGGTAGCAGAGGGGGCCCGGGCAGGGAAGGGCACTGGAAGCTCGCAGCTGAGCTCTGTTGGCAGAGCGCGTGCGCAGTGTGGGGAGGCCCGGGGCTCCAGCTCCAACACCAAAAAGGAAATAGAGAGAGAAAAGGCCCAGGAAAGAGATCCAGAGACCCACGGGCAGGCCTCAGAGCCTGGTCCTGATGGCAGCCCCTGCTGACCTCTCGGGTCATTGAGTTGGACGATGGCAAGCCTTCTGCTGCAGAGAGTGACCCCACTAGTGTGTGCTGACGTCTAAAATGGTGTCTTCATCTATCTCTTCAACATATATCTAATCCATTTCTTCTGTGGGCTGGACACTGCTAGGAACATGATTAGTGACAGATCTCAGTTCTGTCTACCAAGAACTCACAGCTGGTGTACTGTGTGGCGGCTGCTCTCCTTGGTGTAACATAATAACAAAGAAATAAGCCTCACCTTTTTCTCCTTGTGTAATTTGCTGTTTTTGTTTTTGTTTTTTCCTGGCCCTGGAGATTGAATCCAGTGGGGGCTTACCCACTGAGCCATATCGCCAGCCCTTTTTATTTTTTATTTTGAAACAACATCTCGCTAAGTTTCTCAGGGACTCACTAAGTTGCTGAGGCTGGCTTTGAACTTGTTATCCTCCTGCCTCAGCCTCCTGAGCCATTGGGTTTACGGTATGCGTCACTGTGCCCAGCTTTGCTGTTTTTTTGAAGACCTGTTGTTTTCTGGTAGATTTTCATGGTATATAAATTCCATGGCCTTTGGGGTCAGTCATACCTGGTTTCAAATATTTGTGTGAGTTTGTTCTTCATTTTTTTTTTTTTTTTTTTTTTTAATTCAGGGCCTTGGGGCTGGGGATGTGGCTCAAGTGGTAGCGCGCTCGCCTGGCATGCGTGCGGCCCGGGTTCGATCCTCAGCACCACATACCAACAAAGATGTTGTGTCCGCCGAGAACTAAAAAATAAATATAAAAAAAATAAAAATAAAAAATAAATTCAGGGCCTTGAGTATGTTAGCAAGCTCTCTGCCCCTTCTACATCCCAGTCCTGGCTTCACACTCACCACTTCCTGGCTGTGCTACACCAAGTTACTTAAGGTCTTAGAGTCTCAGTGTCTTCATTTATCAGATGAGGAGGATTACATTGCTAGTTAAGGTGAAATGAGATAACCTGTGTATGTGAAACACCTGTCATCATGCCTGCCACATAGCAGATGCTTCTTTAGTGGCCGTCAAAGTTCATCTTCTCTGATTCTGAAGACAGCTGTCGATAGAGTGAACTTGCTGATGCCCTCTTGCTGATGCAGCTGATAACCAAGGAGATGCAGCCAGAGCTGGCTGAAAAGTGTCTGCAAGACATTAAATCCCTTTAAATCAAACTTACTAGTTTGGAATTCCTGAGAAGAGGTACAGAGATGCTCTTTAGTACCATGTACAGGAATCACAGCAAAAGAATGACTTGGTATGGAGAAGTGTTGAAAGTTTTCCTTTTTCCAGGTCACTCACCTGTGCTGGGTCCCCAATGAACCATATATCCTGCAGTCCTCTGAAGATAAAACCATCAGGTGGGCCTCTGAGTGGAGTGAAGGTGTTTCTGGTGAAGGTTTGTGGCTCCCCTGCCTACATCACTTTGCTCCACTCTGCTTCTCCCCTCTGCTCTGCCCTTTCCTGGGACTCCCACCTGTCTGCCCCATGCTGGTGCTGAACTGATGTGGCCCCTTGGATCATCTGGGTACAGGTGACGGTTTTGAGAGCAGCCGACCATCCAGCTCCCACTATGTGAGTGGGTTCAGGTTAACCCTAGGATAGGCCACTCAGCCTCCCTGGCTCCACTTGCCACCCCTGCGTGGCTCCGGGGGTTCTCTGTCATCAGCATTCATTTGAAAACCTTCTTGGGGAGTCAGTCAGGAACTACATCAAGGGATTCAAATGAAGTCAGTAGTGTGTAGAGTGGAGCGCATGACTAGAAACTTTGGTTCTCAAAAGAGATTTTATTTAGAAAATGGTTAGAAATGAGATAAAGTGATAAAAATGAGATGAAGCAAAACAAAACACTCTCCTGTGGACTCCAGGGTCAGGGCTTCTGAATCTGTTTATCTGTTCTGAAATGAAGACTGCGCTCTAGATCATAAAAAGTATCTTTTAAAAAATTAAAATCATAGGCATAGAAATAGTCTCTTGTCTAAAGCAGTGTCCTGAAGGACCAAATTAATAAACTGACTTGTACAATTAAATGTGGTCTAAATTCTTACTAATGGATCTCAAAATAGAAAACTCAGGTGCCACTCAGTTTGGTTACTTCCTGTCAACTTTAGCATCCTAGAGATTGCCCAATTCAGGCGGCTGTATTCAGGTAAATCATGGTATTACATTCTGACTGACCTCCGTAGCAAGGAGCCAAGACTTTATGTGAGTGAGATATTACAGGTCTGTTTCAGGCACATTTACTGTAAACTCATTTCCTGCTTTAATTTCTTTCAGACTATGGGACAGTCGGGGGCTACAGGTGGCTCACATGTTTCCCACAAAGCAACACATTCAGACCTACTGTGAAGTCAGCATGGATGGTCACAAGTGCATCTCCTGCAGCAACGGTTTTGGAGGCGAAGGCTGTGAAGCCACAGTAAGAGACTGTGTGGGGTCCAGGGGCCTGGTTACTGAGGAGCAAATTACTTACTCTGGCTTCATGACTTTAGCTGGACTAACAGGCTCTGCTATTGGCTCAGGCCTATTTTAGGTGTAACTGTGGGTGATTCTTTCCAGATGCTTCTTTTAAGAAATATCCATTAACCTTAGCCTCTCTAAATTGGTAGTAGACAAGAGGAACAGGATAACAGTCAAGATTGAGAGGAGCTAATGTCACTACTCGCAGCAGAGTATATGGGGAAGGTCAACTGAAGAGCCAGATGTATTCCCATTGTGCTGGGTCTCTAATGAACCATATATATATATATATATATATATATATTATAGTCCTCTGAAGATAAACCATCAGCCTTAGTAAAGGAAGTTTGAGCTCTTTAGGGAATGTGGAGCTCCTGGGTTAGTCTAGAGCCCACTCCATCCCTATCCATGTGCCTTCCAGGCAATTAATTTCAGGATAGATTGTCTAGACTCCTCCAGAGTATCTTAGATTCATCATTGTAGAGTATCCTTATCACATGCACTATTTTCTTTAATCCTTAAAACAACCCTATGACTTAGGTACTGATGAGGGAATAGAGGCCTGGCCAGCTGAAATCTCTTGCATATAATCACACCCCTGCTAAATGGCAGATTGGGGTGTTGTAAGCTTTGGATGCAGGATTTCATCTCCAGGCTAATGTATGGCATGGTTTCCAGGGACTTCATTGTTTTTGGACACAGTTCAGTTTGCTCTCCTCCCCGAACGTTACTCTCCAGGTATGACCTGATCTGTACCAATGAATGGAACTGATGGGACTGTCACTTCCCTTATTATAGACTCTAGGCATTACCCTAGAATGTTTGTACTTACATGTATTTATGAGAAGGTGTTCCTAACTACAGGGTCACACAAGACCCACAAATACCAAAAAGCTGGTCAAAGGCAGCTCTTGAGTTGTCATGGAAAGCAAGAAATTCCATACTGTTCCATAACACTGCAGGCCTGGGAGCTTTTACAACTCATGAAAAAGGCAACAGCACTTCTGGCACATTCTTAACCAGTGTTGTTTGGGACATAGTTGTTGCAAAATAATCACCTGGTGGGTGGATGGGTGGGTGGGTATGATGGTTGAAAGAAGAAGTTCATGTAGCTACAGGAGCAGGTAAGTGGAGGACACAGGAGGATCGTGGGCGGCTGGGAAGATGGATAGTAGTGAATGAAGTACGTGTGAAGCTGAGGAATGTGTATGTACAAGCTGGTCCATAAAAATTTACTTTGCAGTTGTGGGACCTAAGGCAGACAAGAAACAGAATACTTGAGTATAAGGGGCATTTCCAGACAGTTGCATCCTGTGTTTTTCTACCAAGAACATTGGCCTTGGTGCCTGCGATTGCTACCTCATCCCATGATTCCAAGGTGAAGATATGGAACCAAGATACTGGAGGTAAGGAGACTGCTGTAGTGCTGCTCAAAGATACACGGGATTCTAAAACTCTTGCTTCCCATTGGTCATCATGTTCAAAGCCAGCCATCTCCTGCCACCGTCTAGTTCCCTGAGTGGTTAAGAGATGACACCTAGATGCTAGTCTCTCTCTGGTTGACCTCTGGATAGAAACTATCACCATGTATCCCGTGATGCATAGAGTCATTCCTGAGAACCCAAACAAAATCTATTTGGCTCTTATGTTCTTTTTCCCTGAAGTTTCTCATCAAGTTTTAACTGGTGATGCTCAAGATGTCTGGAAAAGGGACCAAGAATTGCCATATTTGAATTCCTTTTTCAAGGACTAAATCAAGAGCTTAGTGGGATTCAGGGACAGTAAGAATAGACTCAGAAAGATTTGTTTCATTTGGACTCTAGAACTAGTTAAGACCATAGTAAGGCTATGACACTTCAAAGCACCAGAGAAAAGGTGTCTGTGGATCGTGGCTCCCCACAGTCCTGGACATGCTGGAGCTGGCTCCTACTGGTCAATTGTTAGACACTCGGTGATTTTTTTTTTTTTTTTTTTTTTTTTTTTTGGCACTGGGGTTTGAACCCAGGGGTGCTAAACCACTGAGCCATATCCCCAGCCTTTTTTATTTTTGAGACAGGGCCTCACTAAGTTGCTGAGGCTGTCTTTGAGATATTCAGCAATTTTGTGAGCTAGTTTTTAAACCTTTGATAGCATGAAAGCTGGTCATGATGGGGGCAAGTGCTATGAATAAGTGTTGGAAACCAGAAAGCTGGCTGCCCAGCACCCTGCTGCTCCTGTGTTGCTCCGCCCTAGGCAGGTCAACCTCTCTGTAAGGATAAGAATGCATTATTTAGAGAACTTCAAACCACGTCCTTCCAACAGAAGTCCTCCAGAAACTCAGTTCCCCCAGGGGGAGAAAGGGTACCCTCTCAAAAGAGTTGGGACCATGTCTAATGGCACTCTGCAAACAGCTGGGGCCACAAGCGTTAGTACAGACAGGCCTGTTGTCCCCTTACCTGGAGTGCCCTTTCCCAGCTGCCCAGGTGTAGCAGTCGTGGGTGGTAGGCAAGCACAAGTTTTTGGTTTAGTAATCATGAACCTAAGACCAGGGAGGTCAGGGCCTGATAGTGTTGACCTGAATGGATGGCACTGATGCCCTGCCCACTGGGTATGTACCTGAAGTTCTTAGAAGAGTGGCCTTTGAGATGCAGATGGAAGGAGACTGGGTCAGCTGGACACCCCCAAAGACTGCCTGCAGGTCCCCATTCTCTTTTATCTTGAAGGGAGCCAACAGCTACAGATGTGTCCTTGTCTGTTTTCCCTGTCCCTGTTCTGCCTTGGTCTCTGAGTAGGTAAGGCCCCAGTTGTTTGCACACACTTCTTGGTGGCATCGATCTTGTTTGGCCTGGGCCCCTTTCTGTGCAGTTGAATTCATGACATTGACCCAAGTTCTGCCTTACCTGCTGGTGCACCTTCCCATGAAGCAAGTGGGGCCTTGTGCGTTAGTCGCTTGTGCATTAGACGGTCCAGCACATGCTTTATTCCCTTGAATTTCTCAGGAGGACCTGGTGCATTGATACAGTCACTCACTGCATAATGACGTTTCAGTCAACCTCAGACCACAGACCACATAAACACTGGCGTATACCACATGGCCTCGGTGTGTAGTAGGCTGTACCACCTAAGTTTGCTTAGTATACTCTGTGATATTTGCATAACARTAAAATTGTCTAATGATGCATTTCTCAAATTCATTCTGTCATTAAGCCATGTGTGACTTCATTGCACTCTGGCCTAAACTGTGGATATCTCCTTCCCCTCAGCCTGCCTTTTCACCTTGTCTCTGGATGGATCTGGACCCTTAACTTCCCTGGCTGTCGGTGATCCCATCTCCTTATTATGTGCAAGTTTCAACAGAGGAATTCACCTACTCAGAGTGGACCACAGCCGAGGGCTGGAACTGGAGGAAGTGGCAGCATTCTGAAGCCGAGAGACATTCACCAAACAATATCAAATCATGGCCCTCTGTGTGGCTTTGTTTTTCCATGTTATCTTGGGGTGGGTGGAATATAGGGCTGGTGTTCTTTGCTTAGGTTTACTTAGAAGGTATATCAGTGTTAGAAGTCAATTTAAGTTCAGTGGTTCAAAATCAGGTATGAAATTTAGAAACACGGACTAAACATAAAGTTGACAATCTAAGTTAAACCCAAATGCAGTGTTTTAGTGAGCACTTGGGATGACTCTTCAGGGAAAAAAAATGTTTTATTCAAAATGATGATCTAAAGATATAGGAGTGATGGACCTGCGACTGTGAGAAGAAGCATGGAGCTTGATTCCATCCGTCTCTCCACAAAAATAAATAAATAAATAGATAGATAGATAAGAAGAAATAAAAGGCAACAGGAATAGAGTCTGCTTTAGTTGCCTCAGAAAATAATTGAGATGGGAAAGTAGCTTGGCCCATAGAGGACATGGATCGTCTACATAGTTTAAGCTCTGGGCATCGCTCCTCAGCACCGAAGGATCAAAGCTGGGCGAGAAAGCCAAAGCCTCGGCTTCTACCCAGAGCAGGGRAGGTGGTAAACCCCTGCCCTTGCATGTGCCTTCCTAGACCAGCGCTGCTGAAGTGCTTCAAGAGGCTGACCAGCACAAGGACATCACCCAGATCATAAGAGTTATCTCATTTCCATGGATAAGAAAATGGACAGAGATTAAGGTTGAAAAAGTATATTTGTAATTTGAATATTTTATATAAATAAAATTTCATACATATATATACACATACATACATACACATATGTATATATATGCATATATAGTATACATATTTATAAAGTATATACATATTTATAAAATATGTATATAATTATATTAAAATATTTATAAATATACAAATATTATATAAATATGTTAAATATATAATATAGAAATGTATATATATTTAATATCTTTATGTGGTGCTGAGGATCAAACCCAGTGCCTCACACATGCGAGGCAGGCGCTCTACCACTGAGCTACAGCCCCAGCCCCGAAAGGAGAGAATTTTTAAAAGGGAAAAATCATCACAATAACATCTGAAGACATTATCTGCTTCACTTTTCTTGTTTTTATTTATATATAATAGCAGAATGCATTACAACTCTTATTACATATATAGAGCTCAATTTTTCATATCTCTGGTTGTATACATAGTATACTCACACCAATTCATGTCTTCATACATGTACTTTGAATAATAATGATCATCACATTCCACCATCATTAATTACCCCATGCCCCCTCCTTTTCCTCCCACCCTATCTAGAGTTCATCTATTCCTCCCATGCTCCCCCTCCCTATTCCACTATGAATCATCTTCCTTATAACAGTGAAAACATTTGGCATTTGGTTTTTTGGGATTGGCTAACTTCACTTAGCATTATCTTTTCTAACTCCATCCATTTAGCTGCAAATGCCATGATTTTATTCTCTTTTATTGCTGGGTAATATTCCATTGTGTATATATTTCACATTTTTTTAATCCATCTATTGAAGGGCATCAGGTTGGTTCCACAATGTAGTGACTGTGAATTGTGCTTCTATAAACATTGATGTGTCTGTGTCCCTGTAGTATGCTGTTTTTAAGCCACTGTATAATTTTTATCTTTTATCTCAAGTGTAATAATTATACAAAAATATCAGATGCCTTTAAGGGTATAACTTGCTGAATTTTTATTAACTGAATAAACTCTGATAAGCAGACTCAGATGCAGAAGGGTAAATATCCAGGAACCTGAATGTTGCCACGGCACTCCTCTCCATGCCTGTTTGCTAAGGAATTTGTCACAGCATACATTGATTGTGCCACTTTTCTATGTTATGTAACTGCTTTGTGATAGATAGAAAATATGGCCACAAGTTTCTCCCATAGCTGAACGTGCATCCCTTTGTGACATGAATTCCTCTCCTCCAGAGGGACAGTCTATTCCATGCACCTTTAACCTGGGCTGGTCTTTTGACTCAGTTTGACCAACACAATACAGAGGAATGGACCCTGCACCTCCTGAGGCTGGACCTTGAGATGCTTTGCCAGTCTGCTTTGGCCCTCAAGGACTGCTGCTCTCAGACTGCCACATAAAGAGGGTCATCTAGGCCACATGGAGAAGAACCAAGCATCTCCAGAGCAAGGTCATGCGAATGAGGTCACCTTGGGCCATCCAACCCAGCCAGCTCTGCAGCTCAGTGCTAAGTAAACTCAGGATATCAGAAGAGAAACTCCACAGCTAGCCCCACGAGATCATGAGAAATAATAAATCATTGTTTTAAGACCCTGAGTTTCAGAATGGCTTGTTACGCAGCAAGACATTTAAGTGGAACAAGCATGTACTCTTTTTTATTTTTGGTCAGGCTTCTTTTGCTCAACACGTTTAAGAGATTCACCCATATTGTATGTAGCTGAATACCCCTCATTTTCATTGCTCATTGTACATTATGTGAAAATGCCGTGATTTATCCATTTAACTATGGATGGGCCTTCAGGTGGTTTCTAGTTTCAGATTCTCACAGGTAGCGCTGCTGTGGACWTTTCTGCCAACAGGTCCTCTGGTGAACATCTGCATGTATATGTGCTCATTCTGTAACCAGCAATGGACTTGTATCCTGTACTCACACATGGTCACTTTCATAGATACTGCCCAACAGTTTTCCAAGGAAATTGTGCTATGGCTGTAGAAGAGTTAGAGTTTCAGTTGTCCCACAAACCCTAGCCAACACTCTGTGCTCTTGAACTCTCCAGTCTTGTTTTAAAAACAAGTGTGCAGATGCTGAGGAGTGCCCCATGGGAGTGTTAGCTCAGGGAGCCAGCAACAGAGGAACCTGGACCAACTGGTTTTGACATCCATCCCCCTCCCTGGTGCCTTCAGTAAAGAGGCCAGAATTTAACAAAAAACTTTATACAGTGCTCTGCATTTTCCATAGAACTTTCATAATCATCATTTCATCCGAGTCTTTCAAGAAAATAATACTTAGATGGCAGGGTGGAGATCATTACCTCTGGTCTATCTATGGGAAAAAGTGGCTCAAGGTCAAACAGGTCAAAAAGTGGCTCAAGGTCAAACAGATGGGAGCTCAGGTCTTGGGACATGGAGCCCGGTTCTTCTTCCAGGTTTATGAAATAGAGAATACATTCACATAGTCACAGGAGTACAAAAGGTTTCAGGATGGAAAGCCTCCCTCTCCAGGCCAGCTGCCTTCCATCTGGCGCCCTCTGGAGGTATCCATCAGCTGGTGCATCCTATTTTATGCACATGACCAAAAAAACCCCAGGTTTTTCCCTAATACCACTTTTACCATCAAAAGACAGTATGAGTTCATCTTGAAGAAAAAGCTATGAAAGGCTGTTTCATTAGATAAAAAGATGATAAGGTGAAAAGGGAGACTTTAAAATGGGGATCACATGATTTATAAAAAATTTCTATATAGAGAGACATGTGTCAGAGATTGTCTCTGCTTGAAATCCCAGCATGCCTCTTCCTAGCCCTGTGACCTTGGGAAAGTGGCTTAACCTCTCTGCACCTCAGGGTCTTTATAAAATTAAGAAGATGGTGATAATAGCACCTACACATAGAAATGTCATCATGGCTAAGGAATACAATTTAGGAAGAGCCCCTAGAATATGCCCTAAATGTTGAGGATTATTATATTCATCTGAGTTTCCTAATTTTCCTATAGTGGACCTATATTACAGTAAAAGTTAAAGATTAAATTTCCTGAGAGAAGGGAAGTTGTACAGCTATAGAGAGGGGCACAGATGAGAGAGAGAATGTGGGCACAGAGAAAGGGGAGAGGCCAGGAGGCCCGAGGAGAAGCAGGAACAGGAGCCTGCAGACCAGAAGAAGTGGGACATGTCTGGATTCCTGGTTGTGACACTGCCAAAGACCCGAGAGTCCTGTCATGCTCTGTTTACTGTTGCTATAATGGAAYACCTGAGACTGGATAATTTACAAAGGAAAAAAGTTCATTTGGCTCATGGTTCTGGAGGCTGGAAACCTAAGGCCATGGTGCAGGCTTCTAGTGAGGTCTTTGTGCTGCTTCAACTCATTGCAGAAAGTGGAAGGGCAGATGGGCCTATATGGAAGAGAGGAGCAGCAAGAGTGAACTTGCTTTGTAACAACCCATTTTCATGAGACTGAACCCACTCCAGGGAGAAAGGCATTAATCCTTTGTAATGGCCTGATGCCCTGTTACAGGCCCTTACACCTCTTACCACTCACAGTGGCAAATATCAACATAAGTTTTGGAGGGGACAAAACATATTCAAACCTTAGCATTTACCTCTCAGGCAAAAATAAAATCATTCCATCCACAAATCTCAACTTGTTCCCAAAATCTGTCTCCRAAGTCTTAACTTTTTCCAGCACTAACTGAAAATTCCAAATCTCATCTGTGTACCTGTGAAATCAAAATAAGTTATCTACTTACAAAATGCAATGGTGAGCACCTATAATCCCAACCACTCAGGAGGCTGAGACAGGAGGATCACAAATTTGAGAGCCGCCTTAGTAATTGCCACACTTAGCAACTTAATGAGACCCCATCTCAAAATGAGTAGTAAAGCATCCCTGGGTTCAATTCCCAGTGGTGACAGGGAACAAAACAGGACAGGTTTAGGGCAGACATTCCCACTCCAAAAGGGAAAAATGGTACAGAAGGAAGGAATGACAGGTCCCAAACCAGGTCAACTCCAGGAAGGCAGACATTTAAGTCTTTTTTTGGCAGGGCGGGTACCAGGGGTTGAACCCAGAGTGCTTAACCACTGAGCCACATGCCCAGTTTTTTTTTTTTTTTTTTTTTGTACTGGGGATTGAACTCAGGGGCGCTGGACCACCAAGCCACATCCCCAGCCCTATTTTGTACGTTATTTAGAGACAGGGTCTCACTGAGTTGCTTAGTGCCTTGCTTTTGCTGAGGCTGGCTTTGAATTCACAATCCTCCTGTCTCAGCCTCCTAAGCTGCTGGGATTACAGGCGTGAGCCATAGTGCCAAGCCCCAGTCTTTTATTTTTATGTGGTGCTGAAGATCGAACCCAGTGCTTCACATGTGCTAGGCAAGCGCTCTACCGCTGAGCCACAACCCAGCACCCCCCCACACACCGGTTCCTTTTTTATATTTATTTAGAGACAAGGTCTTGCTGAATTGCTGAGGCTGGCTTTGATCCTCCTGCCTYAGCCTCCTGAGCTGCTGGGATTACAGACGTGCGCCGCCATGCCTGTGCAGACGTTGAGTCTTAAAGATCACCTCTCACTCCAGGTACCACATACTTGGATGTGAGGCAGCCCCACCCCAGGGCTCAGTCCCTGCGTCAGCTCCCCCAGGTTGGAGTTGCGCACTGGTGCTGCAGCTTTCCCAGACAGGCATCCCATGCTGTCGATGGCCCTGCTGTTTGGGGGTCCCTGGGGTGGTCTCGTTCCGTTGGSTTCCCCAAGGATTGCTGCAGTGGGGAATCTGCAGTGGCCTCACCCCATGGCTGACCTTGGCCTGGCTCCCCGCAGGCTGTTTGCAGCATCCTTTAAAATCTAGGTGGAGGTCGCTATAACAGAATACTTGAGACTGGATAAAAAGAAAAGTTTATTTAGCTCACAGTTCTGGAGGCTTCTGTCCAGCTCTGATAAGGGCTTTGGCTGCTTCAACTCATTGCAGAGAGCAGATGAGCAAACGGGCACATGTGGAGAA